AAAATAATATATATATATATATATACATATATATATATATATATAAATTTATAAGTTTAAGAATTAAAAGATTTTTCTCAAATCTCACATCGATTAAAAATAAATAAAAAAATTAAAAAATATATAAATTGGGGCAACACTTACCTTACAAGTTGATTTTCTATAGTTGAGTGTTTGACCTTTAATTTACATGTTTTAAATAAATTCATTACAAGTATTTAAAAGTTAAAGAATTATTAATAGAAATTGCACAAAAATTACCTCTGAATAATAATTTTTTTAATTTATTTTTCCAAAAAGTTCATAAAAAATTTTACAAGAAACTTTCTTGAATTTTTTTTCACAGAAAATTTTCCTGCAAATTTTTATGAAAATTCGCAAAAAAAGTTCGCATATAATAAAAGAAATTCTAGTAATAATTGCACTTTAACTTTTATACAATATACTTTATATTATTTATCTTTATATTTTAATAAAGTTATTAGTTTAATAATTTATTGTCTTATTTTATGCAAGAAAGAAATGAAATCCATCCTCCACCGAGAGTACTTTTTACATTTTAAACAATTAATTCTTTTTTTACATAAGTGCAATAGGGAACGTTTAAATAGAAGTTGTTAGATATTTTAAGATTTAAATTTAACGATGAAATATAATTCGTCACTAAATTTTTATTAACAAACTAAATATTGATTGCTGTGGATTGATTAATTTAAATATGTATATTAACTATCAAATTATATTTATCATTATTTATGATTAACAATTCTTTATTTAACTACCAAACAAAGTGAGTTATTATAATATTTTTTAATCTAATAGTAGATATCTGTTCCTAATTTGATTGCAAACTGTTTTCTCTCACAAAATCATAATTGAATAGTAATAGGAATAGCGACCAACTTTTAAATCCGTCACTACGTAAATACAATGGTCAAAAAACAAATCAGTGGCTATATTATCCTGGTTAGAGACATATGTTTCGGTTGTTAAATTCAATCACTATTTTAAACTTCTTCTTGTAAAGTAAAATTTAAATTCAATCAAATATACTAAAAATAAATATATACAATTTCATTATTATATTTATATACCTTTACTCAAATATTTAAAAAATATATCTTTAATTAAATATATTTTTCACAAATAAGTTTAAGTTATGTGATAAACTTATAGTTATATTAGAAATAAAAATGTAACATAAAAGATATCATAAATTTATAAGTAAAAATATATAGTTATGAATAATTTAGATTTAAATTGGATCAATTATAAAAATCAAATTCAAAATTTTAATTCAAAAAATAAAAATTTTAGTTTTCTCAAATTATTTTATTTTATTTTTGAATTGATTTTTTTTATTGAATTAAATTGATTTATGAACACGCATATTCATTAGTAAGTATAATGGTAACTTGTTTACTTATTACAAGTCAATTTTTAAGAATTGGTCTGACCAATTTGAAAGCCTAGCTTAATAATAAGTCCAAAAATGTGCTTATGAGGTATTTTTAAATAAGGCTCATAAACATGCCAATAAACTTATAAGTCTAATATATCATGCCTTTTAAAAAATTATAATCAACTCTAAGAATTGAAATAATATATATAAGATTTTAAATTTAAATTCTATTTTCATCTTTATAATATTTTTTAAAGATAAAAAATTATATAAATTATAATGCGTGGGAACGTATATGAACAAGTTGACTATGTTATGATTGAACTTCTTTTATAAATTGGTTAGGTAAAGTCAAATTTTATACAAATCAAATCAAGTAAGATTTTACGCATATTAGATCATAGGTATATGATAAGTAATGGTGTGTTTGGATGAAGAATTTATATAGGGTAATTTATTTATTTGAAAATTTTCAAATTTTTTGAGGTGAAATGCTTTGTTTGGATGGAGAATTTATAAATAATTTGAAATCCAAGTATTTGTGAAATTCCTTAGAATAGTAGAATTTCAAATTTTCCCAAAAATTGAGGAATTTGAAATTCCTCATATTTGTTTTTCTTATTTCACCAATATATTTTATCTTATCTCTTCATTCTTTTAATTATTGGATATTTAAAAATATTTTTAAAATTATTAAATATTATCTTATATTAATTTTTAAAATTATTAAATATTATCTAATATTAATTTTTAAAATTATTAAATATTTAAAAATGAATTAATATTTATTTTTATAAAATTTAATTTAAAAATCTCAACATATAAATATATTTTTAAAATTAATTTTACTATGGTGGAATCAAATTATCATATTCAACCTAACAATTTAAATTTTAAAAAATTTAAATTGACTCATCCAAATAAAATATTTTAAGAATGATAGAAATTGAAATTAAAGTAATTCAAATACCAAGAATTTAAAATTTCTTGAATTTGTAAAATTTCTCATCCAAACATACTATAAGATTTTACGCGTATTAGATCATAGGTCTATGATAGGCTGTTGGACTTATTCTCACCCCAAATTATAAGTGATATTATAGTATCACTTTCAGTGGATGAAAAATTAATTTAGAGTGCGTTTGTATTATCATCATGCTTCATTTAATGTCAAAATTATGTGAAAAAAAAGTTTCGTTTAACATGCTTTAAAATTTAAAAATTGAATAAAACAATCAAACACTTAATGGATTATTATAATGATTAAATATTTTGTATTCATATATTATGTAATAACATATTTATTAAGGAATTTATGTTCAATTTTTGTTATATGTAAAAATTTATCAAACTAATAATAATTACAATATTATAAATGAGATAATTAGTTTCAAATACAATGAGTTATGAGCGTTAAAAGTTAATTAAAAGAAGCCAAGCACTTGAAAATCTTAACAATCCACCACAAGTGATCATTCGACACTATAGATATCCGTATCTCGTCATGATGCGACAATATCTCAGTTATGGTCCTGGCCATTATCTAGTCTCTATCTTGGAAGATAACGATTACACATTTACAATCATTTATCGAAGATCTATATACAAAAGAAATACGGTTATACCCACTTTTAAATTATACATGTATTAGCTAATTGTCAGATATGAAGGTAAAATATTCATATTGTGATTGCTGATTGCATATAGGAATGAAAAAACAAAGTACTCATGGATATCCACCAGCGTTATATCCGTACATGTAGGTATTTTAAGATTATCTAAATACTTTTAATTATATATAGAAATAAATTGATTTAATTTAATTTTATTTTATTTTATTTTTATATTTATTTAAAATATTATATTTTAACAGTATACATATAAATATTTACAAATATATAAACAATCGCATGTTGGGGGACCTGCTATCTACACTTGCCTCATTTTCATAATTTAGTATCAAAATACTACTATGATATTTTTATTCTGAACGGAATTATCTTTAATGGGAATATAAAGGTAAAAGAATCACATCGTGTTAGTTACTAAATCTCGTATCAAATAACTCTTATTATTGTTTATTTCAGAATGAAGAGCTATATCTTTTATGGGATATAAAGCTAACAGCTTAACAAATCACTCCAACGATTTTGGGGGAAAATGAAGGCAGAGCAGAAGAACAGAGCTAAAACACAGAATAATTATGCTCTTCCTTCGATTTGATATTTGCGGCGAATTGGTCGTTTTAATGGTCTGTGTCCCTTTCATTTTTGTTAATATTTTGTTCCTAGTTGTGACATCCTTATCGTCATTTAGGATTTTAAGTTAGCTTTTCAATAGCATAATTTTTTTTTTTTTTGTGTATCAAAAATTAAAACTACAGCACAAAAAAATTATTCATAAAAGGAAGAAACTACGTAATTAATCAGACACAGTCTTCATGCACACTGGATCATGGTCTGAATATAAAAAGTGCTGGGAATAATTATCTTTTACAGCTATATAGGTTATATAATAATAATAATATATCACCATATAGTAAAGGACTCTTTCTATGAACTTCCCTATATTTGGGGGCACAATTAATTAGCTTGAGTAAAGAAAACAGAAATGACATAAATAGTGAACAAAAGCATACAAGTTAAACAACTGTAGAGAGATAGAAATAGGCATCGATATCTACACTGTCTCTGCCCCTTGCGAACGTTTTACCAATTTTACACGTAAAATAGAAAGAGATAGAGATTGAGGCACAACTGGTTGCTTTTTCATCAAACTTCGCAATTCTCCTTCTCTCTTTTTACGTTGTTATTGTCGTTGTCATTAGTGTTTTTGTTGAGTTCCGTTTGATCATCATGCTTTTTCTCATTTTCCTCATCTAGCTTCTCTTCCTTTTTCTTCTCCCCAATCTCTATATCTCCTTCACCTTGAGAGTTCACTTCTTGTTCTTGTTTTTCTCCCGTCACTGTTGGAGCAACGTTTTCGTCATTCTGGATTTCTCCTTTGTGTTCTGGTAGCTTCTGATCCTTCGAGGGCTTGTTGTTTCTGTACATTGCATAGAGTCCAATCTGAATGACTCCAAATGTTAACCCCACAACGTTCGGGAGCTGTCCAGACAAAAAAACACAAGACACTGTCATGTTATGCACTATCCATAAAGACAAAATAGTTGGTACTCGAAACACACAATTAATAGTCTCAAACCACCATCTGTGTTCATATTATGTAACACAATCAATTTTTAAATTTATAAAAAAGAATAATTCGACTGCATGTCATAGATTACATGGAATGAAAAAATTGATTAAAACCAGATTGTCATGTACATGAATGAACACGAAGATTGAAGACTTACCGTGACATAGATATCTTTCAGAGAAATACCATACAACAGCCACATAATCGCGCTTATCAGGAGAAGGAGTGAAAGAGGAAAAGGAAGGAACTCAACGCTTTTAGTGCGAATGACCACCCTCTGAAAATTTCAACAAAATTAACCATGCCCGTGTGATTAGTCTAGATATTTATATAATATTAAAAATATATCAGTCTTATATGAGATCGGTTAATTTAATAGCAAACAAAAAGTAAAAAAGAAAGATCTAGATTGTAATCAAGTAAGATACTCACAATAATGCTTAAAGGTGCTGCAAAAACACTAGTAGCAAAGACTACGCAAATCCATCCTAGAAACTTGACACGACCCGCAGTTCCTTTTGCTAAAAGGTGGGTTAGGATTACAATAGTGCAAAATCCCCCAAAATTTAACAAAACAATCATCCTCAATGTCGATATCTGCAAGTCCAAAATCCGTTTCAAAATAATGTTACAAGCCATATCTAGCTATGTCTAACGAGGAACACAAAGTGAGTAAAATTTTGAAATATAGTATAATCCTAGTCCAAGATATATTAATTGTGTATGTACCCTAGCTTTCTTGGGACAGTAAGTGATAAATATGGCAAGGTAAATTGTCTCTATCACGCAACCGAATGCATTGATGGTGATAAGAAGCGTTTCTCCCGTCTTCACATAGGCATAGAAGATCCAAAGCATTGCACTGAAGAGTGCAGCCACATATGGAACCGATTGGAACCCTTCTGTTGATTTCTTCTTACAAACTCTATAAAATGTTGGTCTGCAGAACATGTATTCATATTTTGATCAGTAAAGACATTTGAAGATTAATTATATAGTTTAAGAGTATGTATAGATTCAAAGTTGAAATATTTTTTGAAAATTATTTTACTATATATAAAAAGTCTTATCGAAATATAAACTTTTTAAATTTGTATACAAAGGAACTTTGAAGTTTCAACTATATAAATTAAAAGTTGATTGAATGAACATTTAGACTTACAGTGGTGCCAGGAAGCACACGAAGGAGGCAATGTTACCTATAAGAAAATAAGAAAATAAGAAAGAATGTTACATCTTTTGTAACCTTGGTAAGATGGAAAAAGGAGAAGAGAATGCAAATGATGAGTTATCTGTGTAGGTACCTAGAATTCCAAAGGCGAAACTTAAAGGACTGTGAGACATGATTTTGAATTTCTCTTTCTCTCTCACAGATTTGTTGTCCCTTGTTTGAAGAAAGGGAAGGGAAACTAAGAAAAGAAGAAACTGTGACTAGTTTAATTTCTGTGTCACACAACTGCCACGAGTATTTGAGTCCCTATATATAAGGATGAGGCTGGCTCATGCATGAGGGAGAGGGGATGGACATGTAACAAGTTTGCATGGACATTATAAAATTATGAATGATTACGCTTTTCAAGACGACAATGCTTTGAAAGCCACACAAAAGCTAAAAACCAAAAGTCTTAATTTCGTTTTTTTTTTTCGGGGGACAAAAATATTTATATCTCATACTATTATTTTAGGTTGTTTCTTTATATTTTGAAAATTAAATATATATTTTTATATATAATTTATAATTTCATATTAATAATATTTACAAATAGAAAATTTGTAAGAAAAAAAGTTAGATAATAGACCCTTTAATTTATTAATTCATATATAGGATTATAAAATGAGAAATAATAAGGATGAATCAATATAGCTGAAATAGTAAATGATAAATAACCACAATGGATCCGATGATCGCCACCTCAATATATTATTATTGCAAGTGTAGGTGCAGTGTCGTTCGACAATTAATACTTGGGCCACCCTTAACTTAATACCGCTTACGTACTTAATATGTCTTCTTTAAAACTCTTTCTTTTCGCAGCTTTAAACACTGAATCCCTCTTCCTAGTAAGACACATCTACATTGTTGCCGTTCCTTTATCACTCAAAACATTCTTTTCTAGACATTTTTTCAAGGAATCCAAGTTTTCTTTTCTTACTCTTAATTGATAATAAACGTTTATTAATGATATTTTAAGGAATGAGAATAGAGTTTTTAGATTAGTTTATTTAAACTTTGGTTTGATATAATTTTTTTAATAAAAAATAGATTTTTTTTAAATTATTCATTTAAAAGGGTAGAACTTGAATTTATATATTAAAAAATATATATTAAAATTAATAGATCAATTTATTTATTTATATAATATAATAAAAAAGTAATACACACTTAATTAAATATCTTACATTCTTTATTCATACAAAATCAAGAAATAAAAAATAAAAAATTTAATAGTCGTATCTTTATTTTTTTTTCTTTAGATATGAAAAATATTTTAAATTTTTTATTTAAGATTATCTTTTTTATTATACCTTTATTAGGTGTGTATATGCATGGTTAATTTTTTGTTTCTATTTTAAACTCTAATTTATAATAAGAGTAAACTAATTTTTTATCACCAAAATTAAAAAAAGATACATACATATTTAAAAATATATTTTATAATTTATTTAAAATTAAATTTATTAACTTATTATTAACATTGTTAATATAAAATAGGTTTTTAAATAAGCTAATACATCAAACCATATTTTTAAAAAGACAAAATTAGACGAAAAAAATAACTTAAGATAGATAATAGAATTAGATTTTAATTTTATAAAACAAGTCCAATCAGTATATTCAAAATCTGACTCATTCTCACCTCTACAAATAATAAACAAATTTTGTCAAGTAAATTTCTTTTGAGTGACTGTAAACTTCTATAAAAGTTTTATCTTCTTTTATTGCACATGTGCATAAGAGTACATGTAGATGAATATACACGAGTTACGCCTTTTACACTAATTTCTTATTTTTATTTTAACTCTAATTTTTAATATTAATAATAATAGGGTAAACTATTTTTTTATCTTAAAAAAGAAAAAAGATTTGCATGCATATGTAAAAATATATTTTTGACTTATTTAAAATTAAATTTACTGGCATATTTAATATTATTAATATAAAATAAAATTTTAAAATGGATTAATAGACTAAATCAAACTTTAAAAAAAAACAAATAAAATCTTAAAAATAAATTTTTGATAAATAATATGTCAAACTTAAATTTTAGCTTTATATAATAGATTTGATCTATATATTTAAAATTTAATCTATTTACATTTTTATATATAATAAATAAATTTCGTCAAATAAACTTATTTTTGTTGAGAATTAGAAATTCATTTTTTATGTTGTAATATTCATAAAATAATTAGAATAATGGATCATTTATTTTAGAATTAAAAATATGAAATAAAAATTGGTATTTATGATTATGACTTTGTTTACAAGTAATCAAATTTGCAACCTTAATTAAAAAATATAAGTGTTAGATCTTTCGTAACTTAATAAATTAATAATTTTTTTATAATTAATTTATAATAAAAAATCTTAAACAATATTTTAAGAGCATTGATTAATTAAGAATAAAAATAGAAAAAAAATTAATTAATCTTGTAATATAATTATAATTATAATTTAGATTTTATTTTTAGATTTGAATATGATTTTAGTTTCTCATAATTGATCTTTTAAATTTAAAATTTATATTTTTAGTTTCTTAATTTTTTTAAAAAAATATTATTTTGATCTCTCAAATTTAAAATTTGTGTTTAATTTTTAAAATATCATAAATAAATTATTATTTTAATTCTCCTCAATTTGTCATTATTAATTATACTTTTTAGGAATTAAACTAATATTTTTTGAAATTACAGAAATTAAAAAATAACTTTTAAATTTTAAAAAAATTATATTTTAAAAATTTAAAATATAAATTTTAGATTTAAAAATAAAAAGATATATGCGTTTTAAATCATTTTTATTTATTTCTTAACTAACAACACCCTTAATTTATATTTTTGGTGGTACTTCAATGTACATTTGAGGCCGCCAAAGCCTCCTGGCCGAATCACCAGCACTACTATCAAAAGGTAACCCATTATGTCAACAAAAAAAAGTTTATGAATTAGAGATGAAAACAAGACATGTGTAAAAAAATGAGATTACAGTCTTCACTATAACTTTATGTGTTTGTGACACATTTTTTAAAACTTACTTTCTAAATGGTATATGATTCATATATATAATTCATATCTTGATCAAACAATTAGTGGTATTGCGCTCTATCTCATAGCTTTTGACTCTCACGCGTGAACAGTGGAATTCAAAGTCCTCGGATGATTAAACCAAGTGGCACCCTCTCAACAGATGACAATTATATGTATACTAGTTTCCTAATATTATAGGGCAAACTCACTTTAGTTTTGTTCCACAGTACATAAAGCACGTGTGTCTCGATGAATAGAAAATTTTCAAGAGAAAAAAGTGAGATTTTTTTAATTAAAGAAAAGGTCAGATATTTTAAGGGCATCATAGTGCATGTTGTTAGTTACGTGCTAATAAATTTAAAACAATAAGATTTTATTATATATTTTAAACCCCAAAGACATGTAATCTCATAAATTTTGTCTTAACTTTTTTTTATTAATTTTTTTTTTCAAATTTGATCTCACAATTTATAAAATGTCACAAATTTTACTATAGATTATTTCTTTAAACAATTACAAATTTATGTTAATTCTGAAAGTTTAAAATGTGAAGATGAAATTCACAATATTTTATAAATTCGGTACAAAACTTATGAAAGTAAAATAGGAAAAAAAGGTGTGATATTATATAACTTTGGAGATAAAAGTATATATAAGTTAAATAATATTTTTTTTTTAAATATAAGTATATAATATTTGTTTAAATATTCAAATGAAAAATTTTATTACTTATAACAGTATTATCTTACACAATTAGAATTGTTTCCCAATAAGGATATATTGACCTCTTAAAAATTAATAAACATTTTTTTATGGTATAACATGTATCTCATGATACATGATAGCAGAAGAACTCCTTAAATATCAATTTTATAATTTGCGATTGGAAACGACTAACTTTAGTAGGTATATTGGACTCCAAAGTGGTGGGTGCAGAATTTAAAATATGATACCAGACTACGAGGATAACATTTTAAGATTTTGTAAATCTATCCATATTGATGGATATTAATAGTTAACGGAATGATTGTTTTATGTTGAATGCTTACATGATTTTATCTTTAAAAAAATGATTAATTTACACGATTTAACATACTTTTCATTTTATACTTATATAAAATCCTTCTTTCTTTTCAAAATCTATATAAAATCTTTCTTCTTCTTTTTAACATTCACATAATACTTAACCATTTAACCTATACTTCACTGATAATTTCTCTTATTTTGTAAAAATACTGCTCTAAAACATTTATTTTTATATACTTTTTTTTTTAAATAGAAAAATATTTTGAGTAGGAAGAATAAAACAGAAAAGTTTAAATAATTTGCTCAGAAAAATATTGTTTATATATATATACTAAAAAAATTTCTGAATATTGAGTTGAGTTTTTAATAAATATTTATAAACTTGATAAAATTCTTCTTATTTAATTATTCTGAAATAATAATACTCAATAATTAGTAAATTACATAATTAGCGAATCATGTAAAAATTTAACACGCAGTGATTCTTTCCTAACAATTAAGCTATAGCTTAGCGTTTACCCGTGATTGGCATTAATTAATTATGTCACCATGGATTTCAATAATTTATTCACACTAGAATTATAGTCAGATATTTTTGGCTAACAGGTGATTGCTGCTGGTGACTGTGCACGTGTTGTTATTGTTTTTTTTTAGGATGACTAAATTCTTTTGAAAAACATCAATACATTTTATTAAAATTTTAAATTTTATAAAAAGTAATACTGACAAAATATTAATAATTATTTTATTCTTTTTAACAACAAAATTGACAAACACACAGAGTAAATATAGTGGGTTAACATTTATGATAAGAAGATATAGTAAAAATTTGTCTTTTATAATGATTTTAGAATGTTTGAAGATTGAAGAAGACTTGTACTGATGAGAAAAGTAGATTAAATGGAATATATATATAACCCGGCTAACACTAGAAACAAATTAAAGGGGAAAAAAATATTGTTAATAGTGATTTAGAACTTAATATTTTGTCTATTGCCATAATTTATAATAAAACATGATATCATTATTTTAATTCGTACATCAGAACTTACTCATTGAGAAAATACTTGCTTGTTTTGTATTGAATCTTAATGCATTTAGATAAATTTTGACAAACATAGTTATTTTAATTAAAGAAAAACATTCTTTTTGTTAGCTTATAAAAAAAGAACTAATTTTTTTAAACATTTGAAAACAAATTATCAAATTATTATAACT